TTACTATATTTAACTACCTTTACACTATAACCTATAAGTTTAGTAAAAAGACGTTACTAATCCTAGGACACACTAAGTATAAGGCTTACTACTAGGCCTAAGTACTTTTATAAACTCTTATAATATATAACTAAGGCCTACTAATAGCTATTATTAGTAATTATAATCCTAAATTTATATTAGCTATTTAGGTAGGAATATTTAACGCCTTAAAAGTAAAGCTATTTATCTTTATAGCGTACTACCCCTAGACTAATAGCTAGAGTAAGAGGACTAACTAAATAGTTAAGATTACTATTTACTTTTATATATATACTAACCTAAATATACTATAGATTAATATACTTCTAGTGCTATAATACTTACTTAATAACTTACTTATAGTTATAATAAGGTAGTTACTAAATAAACTAGTCTTTAGATTTTACTTATAAATAGTACTAGAATATATTAGTACTAAGGGACTACTAATAAAGTCTTTAGATATATTATACTAGACTTACTAATCTAAAGCTCTAGCTTTAATTAATATAGTAGGATTAATATAAAAAAAGTAATATAACTATTACTATTACCTTATAGACTTTACTATTAGTAATAAGGTATTCCTTTAACTTAGTAAAGGCTACTTACTACCTAGTAAGCCTAAGAGAAAGTAGTCTTTTTAGTGTATAAGCCCTTTTTAAATTACTTATATAGTTAGGCCTAGTGCCTATAAACTTAACTTACTGCTATAATAAAAAGTACACCTAGTAGTGTTAACTATATAGCTATAAAAAGTACCTATAGGTAAAGACCTTTTTAGTAAGAAGTAGTAACTACTAGAACTAGTAAAGGTTAATAGTATAAAAAAGTATAAGGTTAAATAAATTATAAGATAAAGAATTAACTAAAAAAAGAATTAGCTATTAGTTAAGTATCTTATTAAGTAGAAGGGGTACTTACTAGTAAATAATATATAAGAGCCTTATAAGAATCTTATACTAAACGCTAGTAACTTAGTAAAAGAATATAAGAAAAGTAACCTTATTAACTAGAGTTTAGAATATATAAAGAAATAAGGCTAGAAACTAGCCCTAGAGGAATTTCTCTAGAACCCCTTACTAATAATACTTAAATTATTATAATCCTTTCTAATAATATAAGGTAATACTTAGCCTTATACTATTATTTTTAATAATACCTTTATTTTCTAATCTTCTTTTTAATAAAAAGGAATAACACTTTTAATACGCTAACACTTTTTTTTTATTAAACTATATAATAGTATAGTAAAAAAAGACCTAAATAACTATATATTATTAATAGTTAAAAAAAATAAAAAAAGTAACTATTTAAAATAAGTAACTATACCTATCTTACTTATACCTATAGTTAATAGCTAGAAGATATTTTAACCTACTTACTTATAACTACTATTTTTTTATATTTATTAACTTATCTAACTTATTACTTTTCTTTATAATCTACTACTACTTTTTATATTATAATTTACTTTTACTTTTTATAATACTAGTAGTAGTTAAAGCTAATTATAAGTATAATATATAATCTTATAATTATACTATTAAGAAAACCTAAAGCTTTATAAGTAATTTTAACTTATATAAGGACATCCTTAACTAAGACACTTTTAACTTTAATAAATTTATTAATAAGGACGTTAATAATAATAAGATATCTAAGTATATTAACTACCTTACTTAGGCTAGTGCTACTAGTAGTTAGTAGCTTATAGAGGAGTATAGTAGTAGTACTATAAGACCTAGCTTTACCCCTATTAATCCTTTAGCCTAAGGTAATAACTAACTAAACACTAGTATAAGTAGTATAGGTAAGGAAGGCTAAGATAATAAGGCTGCTATAAAGGACCCTAACTATAGTAATAATAACACTAGTAATATAGATCTTAACCCTAACTTTAATAATAATAAGGTAGGTAGTAAGAACTTTAAGGTGTCTAAAGTCCTAACTAAGGAAATTAAACTTCTAAATAGTATTTATAATAAGACTAAAAAGGCTAATAAATATATTTAGTAATAAAAAATAGTTAAGTAATAAGAGAAGTATAATAAGCTTTATAAATATATTAAGTAATACCTTAATACACTTAATTAAGATAGTATATTATAAACTAAATAAAGCGCTATTAAGAAGGCTAGAAATAAAATAGTAAAAAAAGTTACTATAGTAGCTAAAGTAAAGGCACCTACTACCTTATATAAGAATATATTTACTACTAAAAAGTTAATAATCTCTATTAAAGAGGAGGTAATTATATACCTTAATAAAGCCTTTTATAGTAGTAGTAACTAAATACTATATAAGGACACTAAGGTCTAGGTCTAGTACTTCTATATAAGCTAATAAAGCTCTAACACTAAATAGTTATATACCTCTTTAACTTTAAATAAATACTTTTAATAGTAAATTATAGCCCTTATAGACGCTATCCTTACTAATTATAAGAAAAGTAAACTATAGTCTAAGGAACTCCCTAGTTATATAGTACTAATTAGCTTTATATTCTTATACTAACCTAAGTAAAGTAATTTTAAGGTTATAAGTACCCTCTTACTTATTTAGCGCCTAGACTATATCTCTATATTAGAAATTTAGTATACTTACTATATAAAAGGCTAATTATACTTAATTAACTAGCTAGAAGACTAAGTTACTAACCTTACTACTAAAGTTAATAAGTACACTAAGTTAATTTATAAAAATATAAAAAATACTACTACTTTAGTAATAGCTATTAATAAGGCTAAGGTAGCTATAATAGTATAAAGTAATATTAATAAGGCTATTAGAAAGAGCTTATACACTAAAGCTAAGAAGATTTACTAGTAAGTAGCCTAAATTAATAATATTAAGAAATAAATTAACACTATTAAAAATAAGGTTAAGAACCTTAACTATAAGGTAGATAATCTTAACGCCTTTAATAAGTTTAAGGCTAGGGATTTTAAATAGTTATAAAATTAAGTTACCTTACTTATAAAGACACTCTACCTTTAGTAAAAGATATATACTACTACCTAAAGTGTTATTAGTAACATAAGCTTAGGTAGTAAAAGTAATAAGTAACCCTACTTAGTAAAAGAACTTAGTAGCCTTATAGGCCTATAAGGAAAAAAGCACTAGGCTAGGGCTATAAACCTAAGTAATAATAATAATAAGTAAATAATAAAGTTAAAATATAAATAAATAACCCTAAGGTATAAGGCTATAATATAGAGAAGATAAGAAATAGTAAATATTACTTTCTTAATTAGCTCTTAAAGTATTTAGTAAAAGAAAATAAGGTCTTTTTTAAGGGGGGGCACTTATTATAAAATAAAGTAGTAAGTGCCTATAGTTAGGAGATAAATAAATAGTAAGGACTAAATACTTAATATATATATAATACGTTATATATACCCTAAGTATATATCCCTTTAGTAAGTAACCCTTTATAGAAAAAGGGTTAACTATAAATACACTTACTATCTATTACTTATCTTATTTTATATTATTTATTTAGCTCCTTATTATTATTTATCTTACTTTACTACTTTACTATTACGCTTTGCCTTTACACTATGTTACTTTATAACACTACTATAGCCTAGCTTTATCTTATTAGAACTATAACAGCTGCTAGGAAGGCTGTATTAGCTAGAGGAGGTCTTTACCCTATGTACTAGGCCTGCCTAGCTAGAGGAGGCTAGACTACTAGTTCTTAATAAGTATTATAGCTATATAACTATTAACTTTATATAGAAATACTAGTAGTATTATATCTATTTATTATTTCTACTACTATATACCTCTACTATCCTCTAGCCTCTAGATATAGCTATCTTTAGCCTATTAAAGTAGGCCTATTACTAGAGGGTTAGATATCTAAATAACTAGGTAACAGATTTAACTATTACTAGTAAAAAGGTATTCCTAAAGTGTTATTTTAAGGCCTATAAGGTATTTATTATAGATATTAATATTAAGAGTAGCTAGAGGGCTACTAGGTTATAGCTAGTATCTAGAAGGCACCCTCTATCTAACCTACTAGTCACTAAGGCCTAGCAGGCCAGCCAGGCCAGCCAGGCTAGCCAGGCCAGCCAGCAGTCTAGTAGCTAACAGTAAGATAAAGCTAAATCTATTATCCTATAGTTAACCCCCTATTAATTTACTAATCTATAGTATTAATTACACTAGTTAACCTAGCTAGGTAAGGATAAGTTAGATACCTATACTATCTATTACCTATCTAAAAAGGTATAAAAGGGATATAATAAGCAGGCATCTAGAGCAGCCCTTCTAGAAAAGTAAGTTAACTTATTATAGGCCTAGTTAGATAATATATAGTCATATAAAAGGAAAAAGGTCTGCCTATTACCTAACAGCACCTTTACTACTATAGAGGATATTATCTAGGCGCAGAGTCTAGATGCTGGCAATATAGATAGTCCGGATAAATCTAGGGCATCTGAATTGCCTAGCGAGGCCGAAAGTTGTATATAGGTGGGCGGCAGAGATAGTGAAATAAGTGGTGATAGTGGTGGTGATGATGGTGATGATAATGTCTCGGATGTGGGGGTGTCTCGCAAGTAGGGTGGGGGAGTTACTGTGCACTTGTTGGTGCCTGTGGACTATCCGGCCGGCATATCACGAGTCATGGCAAGCCTCTGGCTGGGTATATAATACAAATCCCATTCAACTACTTAAGAGTAGTGCTGACATGAATTAGTATTATCGGTAGAGCCAGAGCAGGAAATCCGTTGCAAAGCTTTCGAATTCTTAACCCTCACCCAGGCATATTTGCCTACTATGACGGCCGGACTGGAGAGAGGTTTCACTCGGATCAACCCAACTGGCTTGACGATGGAGCTTTCACTCTTGGAGTATCGACATACTCCATAATTGATGGAAACGAAGCAATAATCTTTGACTCTCACATCACACCAGACCACGCTGAGGCTGTGATGCGTCATGTCCAGAGCCAAGGAGTTACAAAAATGTCTGTCGTCATTAGCCACTTCCACAACGACCACATTGCTGGGACAGAAGTATTTGCGAAGGGCGGCGCCACTATCGTGGGCAACGACGTGACAGCGCAGACAGTGGAGAGTAGAGCGCAAAGTCTTGCTGCCGACGACCCTCCTATTCATGCAGTACCTCCAACCAATATTTATACTGGCATGAAGGCTATGCAGGTTGGAAACATGAGTGTTGAGATTCACAATTTTCAGATTCACACTCCTGATGGAACAGTGTTGTGGATTCCATCAAAGCAGCTGTTGTTCGCTGGCGATACTGTTGAAGATACAGCAACCTTCATCTCTGATGCCAAGAGTCTGCCCACGCATCAAAAAGAGCTTCAGCGCATGGCGAGCTTTCCAATCTCAAAGATACTACCGGCTCATGGTGAACCTAATCGAATTGCTACCGGTGGTTACAACGCAACATTTATTGACGCCACATTGCGATATATCGATGCTATGATAGAGGATGTGCCCTACCCAGCCGCTTGGACGCAGCCTCTTTCTCAAGTTGTTGCTGCTGATGTGGCCAGTGGCGACCTGATTTACTTCAGTCAGTATGAGGAGGTACATAAGAGCAACGTGGACTCTATTCAGAGAGCCCGTGGAAAAGTCGACAGCTGAGCGGTTATGTTTCCACAGTTGTTCATCGTCTAATGTTTTGCGGTTAATACAAATTAAAGCAAGAATTATGCATCGAACATTGGAATAACTATGTGTAGCTTTGTAGTGTGCATAGCAGACGTGGACTTTCGGAACATAGCTACCTAATAGTTGTTCTTGTTTGTAGTCCTAATTTAGCGTAAGGGCATGGGCAGGCTAAACCACTCATCCACCCTACGAGTTTTTGGGCGTAATCTGGACCCAGAAGTCTCGTGAGTAAGAACTATTCAGTTGTTTAGAGACTTAAAGATGGGTCTCTTGCTCAAACCGAGTTGCCATTTCTCTTCACACTACAGCGACTTCTACCACTTTGAAAATACGTAGCCAGCTGGCCTATCAACTTTCCACTGACCTTCACCAATAATAGACCGGATCAGCTGGTATACTCAGCCCTGCTGTGTCTGGACCCAGATGAAAAGACTCTTGTATTCTTCAATGATGTAAATTCACCCAAGCTTCGGTAAGACAGAGAATGTGATCCGTATAAACAGCAAGCAGTGAACCTCTTTCACACACAGAAACTCACATAACTGCAATACTTTCAAACCAACTTACTACTTATCTCTCACCATTCCTTTGTCAGCGTACCGATGAGATTCACAAGCTATCCATGCGCGCTTTATCTCCACGTGTTGTGATTGACAAGTCAGAGTGTGCGATAACACCCACTTATGCAGCCTCACATCAAAACAAGGTGTGTAACCAGTAAAAACCAAGTCGAGTACGATAACAATGGTCACACTGCGTCAGGGGGGCATAAGACCATAACCCAAGTGTCTCAAATTCCTCTCAAGTTTCGTGACCTGCAGACGACTTGTCACGGAACTTTATTTCCGGGTGGAACGTGCCACCTGCGGTACCTCAACCAAAAAGTTGTGACGTCGACGGCGTTTACTGGTGGAGAAAATGGCGGTAAGGGAGTGGACGCATCCCCTCAGCTCCAAAGGAGGAGTTTGTTACAAAAAGACAGTAGTAAGCTGGATTTCTCCTTGGGATGTTTGCAACCTTCAAGTTGGTTTCGCCCTATTGAAGCAAACGGTCCACGACTCTTGGGGTGGAAAGTTCTAAACTTTCTTTTTATTAAATCTACTGTCCGACTTCAATAAGCCACGTAAACCTGAAAACGAGGTCGCCGGACATCTCGTAACTATCGCCTTTCCACCATGCCTTCAGCCCGCGACGCCGCCTCCGAGGTCCCGGACATGAACCTCTATAAACTGGGCCGAGTTCACAGCACACTTGAAGGTTTGAAAAACAAGCCAGAATGGACAGCGGATGACACAAAATCTTTTGACTGCATGCACTACCTGGGCGATGCAGCAATTGATAACGCTGCCAAAGAGCTGGGACTCAAAGCCGGCGAGAGGGTACTCGATATCGGGTCCGGCTTCGGTGGAACAGGCAGATATCTGTATCGACATTACGGTGTTGCAACTACCGGGATTGAATTACAAAAGGACATTCACGAGATTGCGCAAACTATCAACAAGAGATCCGGGGCCGGTGACAGGGCAACATCATTCAATGGCAACTTCCTTGAGCTCGACCCCAGCCTCATGGGTGCACCGGTGAACCACATCGTCTCTTTCCTCTGCATCCTGCACGTTCCAGAGCGAGTGGTCCTTTTTAAGAAAGCTTGCGATGTCCTGGAGCCGGGCGGGAAGTTATACATTGAAGATTTCTTTGCGCGAGCGCCTCTCGATGGTAACACTCTTGAGACTCTCAGAAGTTCGGTCTCATGTCCTTATTTGCCCGACAAGAGTCACTATATGCAAGAGCTCGAGGCAGCCGGCTTCGAGATTATCAACTGGGTGGATATGTCAACCACCTGGACGGAGTTTGTTCATCATCGTGCTGGAGAATACAAAAAGGATCCTTCTGTAGATGCTGATCTGACAGCGTTCTACGATGCTGTAGATGCAGTGTTTACAGGAGGCCAGGTCGGCGGAGCCAGGGTCACCTGTCAAAAGAAATGAGTGCACATTGAGTCATGTTTTTCAACCAAGCTATTGCTTTTAAAGGATTACAGGATCAGGGTCTACTCTAGTAAGATAAGTTTATTGCTCATAGATTATAACTAACTACGGTGGTCCATGCCGAAAGCTACAATTAAAAGCTACCACAAGATTTGATACTGCATCTAAGATCTTGAACCATGACTGGCTCATCCATATAAGCAAACTAAGTTGTCGAAGATGTTATGTGACCGATGATATTAGGTGACATTCTTTCGCTTCCTTTCGTGCGCTGTCCAGGGCTAGTTTAAGCTGAGCGTCTACTAGGTCCAGGGTGCTAAACATGACCTCGCGCGTAGCTTTCCCCGAAACGAAAATCGGTACTGGTTCAACTTGAGGTTATATTTGGGCTTTCAGCGAGAAGTGAATAAACCCAGCTGCCGACCTCTTTGTTCTCCACCTTCACGTAGGAAGAAGATGCCTTTACAAGCGTGTCTGGTACAACACAGAGTAACCGCGCCATCACAAAATTAATCTAAACTTTGCCAACGGTGACGGGCTAATTTTACTATCATATCTGCAGTACTCTTTGACCAAATCATGCATACACTCGGATCCGAGAAAGAAATTTTGGGATGAGCGGAGGAGAAGAAAGATTCGTCCTCAATTACACTAGCCCCATAGCGCTCCTGGGATGATTTCGTAAGCTGAGTGGATATGGTGCACATTTCGAAAAGTAAGGACATCCTGGGAGCAAAGTTTCGTGCGGTAGTCTCGAAACGAACGAATCAGGAAAGTTTCCACAAAAGAGCAATGTCCAAGTACCTATGGCAAGCTCCTACAGGTTGAGCGCAGTCACGTATGTTATGCAATGCCTCTTCCTTGGAAACCAAAACTGAGTAATACTATACGGGGTTGGGGTTGAAGGGGGGGTTACGTTTGACGTTAGAGAGTTGACACACTGACACAAGTTGAAAAAGACACTAAAAGCGGGAGAAAGAGGAAAGTAGGGGAGATGGGAAATCATTGCTGTACGCACCCACAGCAAAGCTTACACAGAGAAAAGAGAAGAGGCAAGGCCTGCGTACACACTTATCCGGTGTTCAAGGAAGTATTGGGTAGGAGTCCAAGTTATTAGTACGAATACAGCGCTTACGACATGTGGGCTTGTACGCAAGAAGCATAAGCCAGTATTCAATAGGCTGATGTTTGTCTGAGTCAGCCTTTAGATTACCGTAGACTCTGGTTAAATCGAATAACCGCTAGAGAGCAATCTAGCCAATATTAGCTAGCGAGTATCTACTACGCTAAGCCTAAAGTGAGAGGCGGTCACTGGATCAACTGCCAATCATAAGTCAATTTGCTGGCCCTTGCCACCTAACTTGCTGCTGACGTAAGTGATTAACCCGTGCTTTTGCCACCTCCAGACCCCTGCTTCTGCCATCACACTATGCCTATCACAGCGGCCGCGATACCCCTTGCCGTTAGCTTGCTCATTAGCAGTTATTCGATTTCACGAGAGTTTACGATACCTAGTTGAGCTTGGCGTTATACTCGCTTGTCGGTTGGGCCATGCGAAATGGATATTGGTGATCTGCAGCTAGTGAGACAGGGAGAGAAGGATTGATAAGCTCCGCTGTGTCCAGGGACACGCGGAAACTACGACTTCCGAAGACACTCAGAAATCATGCTCAAAGAAGCTCACGTGCGCCGTGTATCACCAGTTAGTTTCCCGCGGTTAAGTCTGAGCGACAAACTGTCAAAACTTCTGCTGAAGGGTTCATGAAGAACTGAATGAGGACGGGATATGTATTGGAGTCATGGGCAAGCATGGCAGAAGCAATCTGTTTCAGAACCTCTCAATATAAATCCGTGCTCGCGCCTCGATGTTCCGTTCGAACATCAAATGGCTTACAAAAATCTTCAAACACTCTATCCGTTACAGATGTGAAGTTGCGTATGTATGACATCGCAAATCTTAATAGCGCGAGGTTTACTGACTCATCTATGGTCAGAATTATCATGAATGCATTGAAACTTGATAGGTCAGCATTGTGGTGGTGGTTGTTGTTGTTGTTGGTGCAATGAAGGTGTCGCAAAAACGACGCCGTTAATCGCAAGCAGCAATTAACGCCTAATATGTCCTGTGACAGAAGGCAAGCGCGGCGAGTCGGATAGCCTATCGTTCCGAGCAAGCGATAGTCGGTGTCTGTACTCCGTACAGACTGCGCTAGGCGGTTAGCACAGCCCAAAGGTTACATTATAGAGAAGGTGGGCACATGAGTAGACACAAATGTGAGTGTGTGGCGGGCTACACCTGTCACATGCGTGGCGGTCGGGGATTGGGCGCAAATGGAGAATAGTGCCCTCGAGGCTTGGTTTATGGCTGGACTACGGCAGGGCCAAGAAGGAAGAATTGGGTGACCATGCGGTGACGACGCACTCAATGAGGATAAGTTTATTAGAGGAAAATTACGCTGCCCATCAAAACACGCATCCTTAGCAAGAAACCAAAGTCAAACCTCATCTAGCATGAGTAAGGCCACTGACGACGAGGTGCACAAGGAGACCTAAGCAGTGGAAATTACAGGGTTTTAGAGAAGAATGCCAATGCACACAAAGCATATTTGTCTTTCTACAACGTATAGGCCCTGTCTCAGTGGCAGGGTACCGGGAAATATTCGGTCTCGTCATGATTCGTCTCAGTCAGGTGTGCCCCGTTTCATTATGTCAAGCCGATATTGGAGGGGACTGATTTTACGAGAGTCTCGGCTAACTTAGTCCTCAGGTGGGAGGCCCGGCTGTGCCGGACCCCAATCTCGAATAGGTAAAGAGTACACAATACGGGGTACGGAGTAGATAATAGCCATATCATCCGACCGTTTTAGAGTATTATTGTGTACCTGTTTGACTTTAAGAGGGGCTGTCTTGGATACGTACCCCAGTAGCCATACCTAATCAAGTATTTGCATGGGTGCGTTCTGGTAAGACCTTCCATTCCGCGGTCTGACATAGGGGAATGCAGGGTGATACGGCCTTGCATCGTGACTATGCCACCAAGCCCAAGGTCGGGTAAAAATGTATCATGTTTCCAAGTTTTATGACACGGACACCCGGTTTCTGAAGAATCAGCGGTGCCCTTTGAGTAGTCGGTTCATACAGAGAAATACCGTCGTTGATTCCACGAGTAATGGAAATGACAGGGAAATATGAAGTCATCGACCTAGCCAGGAGCAGAGCGTATTCGAGTTGGGAAAGGTAAAACGTAGTTATTAATACGCAATCATTATAACAAACATATCCGTTATGATTTGATGGCGGAGAGACTTTGCACAGAACTTACAGCAATTTCAGTTTAATACGACGAGTTTAGGTATAGAGCCGCGGAGAAATCAACAGGGTATACAGGGTGAAGAGGCGCAAAAGGGTATGGGGAGACAAACAACCTGTCAATCTAGAGTTTTAGTATATCACTGGTCAGTGGACTTAGGAGAGATTGGATGGCGCCATATCCTATTGGAAAAGGGGGAAGAGGGTGGGACATGGATGTCGGTGCGCTCAAGACAGAGTACAGTTTGACAGTGTACGGATAATGGTAGGAATAAAGCGAGTGTAAAGGCGCATAGACCAGCATAGGACAGGATTGGAGGGCAGACAGTGGAAGCACTTTGCTTTTCCGGCTGGCCGTCGCTAGTGTACCAGCGTTGCAGACATTGGTTGCGTGGCGGTCTTTTTCTTTCTTTCTTTCTTTCTTTCTGTTGGTTGAGCCTTTGCGTTGGTGTATTTGTATGCGTGCGACGCCAAGAGACGCAGTATGTATCATTTGATTCGCTCGGTTGCGTGTGTAGTATCCGTACACACTGATTTAATACCGGTAGCCAAGCAGGCATGAGCATACAAGAGGTTGCTAGTAACTAGAGGGGACCCATGCCGATAAATACCGGTCTTACTCATATGAGTGGAGGCATGGCTGGCAATGAGGGACCGAATCTTTTGCTTTGGTATGAGTTCCAATACATTGACTACAGATCTTGGTGCGTGCGCGCGGGTGTGCACACGGGGAGGCTAAGATACCACATACACACATAGAGTACACTACCTAGGTACGAACAGACAGATGTCAAGAATCTCTAGACTAATTTGGTTGAGCTGGCAGAACCATGATGATCCCCGTCTTGGACGTGGCAGCGCATCATCGACAATTCCAGCTTACGAAACTCTTACGACATGGATAGAGGGCGCGACTAGATAGTTTGTGTACGGCCAGCTGCCGAGCATCCATGTGTACGCTGTACATGGATATGTGGAGCAAATTAGCAAGAGTGTACGAATATGGTACTAAGTTGCAGGCGAGGAACTAGATCTAGACAAAAAGGTGCAGGCTCATGTTTGCCCGGACAAAAACAGAATGCCGATCTGCCAATTATGGCACCCTGGCTAGCTGCTAGGTATTCCATGGCACCCCAGTGTCAATGCTTTGCACCAGTAAGGTAAGAGTTTGACAAGGGGGGGGGTCCGTGATGAGTCGCGTGGGAACGACGGGCGAGCATTACCCAAATAGAAGGCGGAAGCAGCCAATAAACGAAGCGACTAGAGGCTGTATGACGGATCAATTATACCCGTGCCACTACGACGCGAGGTACTCTACGGATATGCGGTGGCATGCCAAGCCACAGACAAATAGTAAGAAGCATGAGCCTGACGGTGGATACCTTGCTGATGTGCAGGTTGAGTGAGAGTGAGTAAGAGGGGAGTGACAGCTAAAGATTTGTCACGAATCGTTTGCCCAAGTTTGGTTTCTTATGTTTTACGACGAGGGCAAGACCAGGTAGCGTGTTTCCGGCGACCGTCGTCGTAAAGGTAAGGTGAGGGAGGTGAGGTCAAGCCGGGCGGCGATGAGGTGTGATGAGTGAGATGAGATAAGGAGGTAAGCGAACAGGGGTTTCTAGTGGCAGGGTTAGCCACGGCGCACCTTAGATCGGTGGGGCGAAGGGCGCAGGGTGATACGAAGCCTTCGTGCA